AAAATGACAAAAATATTCATCAAAATTAAAGAATTGAAGATATCACAAAATAAACTAATCTAATAGGGGTCTACTCAAGGTACATATACCCCAAGTTATCAAAGTAATTGAGAAAGTAAAAAGTTTGCGAGGACGCGAGAGACTAATATGATAAGTTCCAATCAACAGTGGAGTTAATAAATATAATTTGACATTTTTAATAAAATCTTACCTCATATTTTTGGTTTCTCTAAAAACAATTTTGGTTGTGCCTAATAGATTTGAGAATGTTTATAATCATGTTCCAAATGTGTGTAATGTGAATCTAGCAATCTAGTATGTCACCGAGAGTCATTATCCTTTGACATTAAAATTAGAATACATCAAAACCTAACTTTTTTGTAAATTTATAATATATCAGCAATTTAGTGATGTGTAAATGCTGCTCTCTCTCCATTCCATTATTTTAATCTCTAAAATTCTATAGAATTACGTAGAGTTCCGCAGAAATTCTATAGAAATTGAGTGTTACATATATTTTCAATATTTTTGTTATAAGGGTGAATTTTTATTAATTCCATGCAGTTTTTTTAGTATGTACATGTACATCATTACAGAAATATACAGGAATTATTATTTAAAGTGAATGTCACCAGTTGTATAAACTAATGAGGGAAAAAAGTGTGAAGTAGATAGTCATGTGCTTGATATGATTCTACACAATTCTATAACATTCAACATTACATATACAATTCTATAACATTGTACAGATTTTCTATGGAATTTAAATAGAATTGAAAAAAAACTATAGCATTTTATAGAAGTTTTTCGTAAAATATAAAATATCTTGCGTGTTTCTGCATAGTGTAATAAAGTATTGGATTTCTATAGAATTCAATAGAATACCATTCTAGAGAAGAATACCATTCTATAGAACTCTATTGAATTCTATAGAATAATATTCTATAGATTTCTATTGAATTCTATAGAATAATATTCTATAGAATTACATTCTATTGAATTTCTATAGAATTCTATACAGTTCTATAGAATTCTATAGAACTTTTTCGTAAGGGAAGCGTCTGCCAGAGCTGGGGGGGGGCATTGTCCTTCTCGGATGATGGACCGCCGTTATGGACAATCAAGTTGTGCTAAAGACACGAATCGGGTTTCTCGCCTAGAACCAAATCCCAGGACACGATCCTCACCCGATCGTCATCCCCCGGCTGTCAAATTTTGTCTGCCCGGAGGGTCAGGAGGAATTGCTTCTCTACCCGGTTCGAGCACGGAGTTGCCACCAAACCGTACTAGGATTTGGAATGGGGTGCCAGGCACACATCTTTGTGTTATGGCCCAGGCAGGCAGGATAGGCCGGCCTCCCCAACTTCCATAACCAGGTGGTTTACTGCGACTGTATTAGAGGTCTAATACTTTATATTCCTCGACACAGAGCTCGCAGAGACACCAAGTATGAGCGCATGAAGTCTGTGCGATGGCTAACTCGCTAATGCTAGCGTCAGCCCCCCCCCCCCTCGAGCACACATGGAGGGCAGGCTTCTGGAGAACGCAGAACGTCTTTATCAACTACCATCTAAGAGACACCGAATCCATTGATAAGTCTCTCTCTATGTTGGGTCCCGTTGTAGCGGGTCAGTCTTGGTTTGCTGACCCAGCCCGAACGACTGCTAGGGTCCCTGCGCATAGGCAATAAGTCAGTTTTCATCCCGGACTGGGAAAAGACGTTTGCTCGGAAAAACCCGCCACCTATCGGTGTCTGACTCTGCCTACAGTTCAAATAGTTCATTT